TCTCATCAAACACGTCTTCCGTCTTCATGGGATTCCGGTGGACATCGTGTCAGACCAGAGTGTGGAAACGTTTCTGTCATGCCATGGGGGCCACTGCTAGTCTGTCCTCTGGTTACCACCCGCAGTCTAACGGCCAAACGGAACGCCTGAATCAGGACTTGGAGGCAGCTCTGCGCTGCGTTTTTCTCCATCGCCCCTCCTCGTGGTCGACTCTACTGCCTTGGGTGGAATACGCCCACAACACCCTCGTCTCGTCTGCCACCGGTCGGTCTCCTTTCATGTCTGCCTATGGTTATCAACCTCCTCTATTTCCTTCCCAGGAGGGTCAGGTGGAACTCCCGTCCATACAGCTCCACCTGCGACGGGCCCATCGCGTGTGGAGGGAGACCAGAGCTGCACTGTCACGCACTGCTGTGAGGAACCGGCAGATCGCTGACCACCGCCGACGCCCAGCACCTAGTTATCAGGTGGGGCAGAAGGTGTGGCTGTCGACAAAGGATCTGCGACTGACTGGTACTTCTCGCAAGTTGGGGCCTCGCTTCACGGGACCGTTCATGGTGGAATCGGTCATCAACCCCGTCTCCGTCAAACTCCGACTGCCGCCCACCATGAAGGTCACCCCAGTCTTCCACGTTTCCCTGTTGAAGCCAGTGGCCACCAGTTCCCTGGCTCCTCCTCCCACATCGCCTCCTCCTCCACGGCTCATCGACGGCGACCCGGTGTACACAGTGTGGGAAATTTTGGACTCTCGGCGCAGGGGTAAGGGGTTCCAGTATTTGGTCGACTGGGAGGGCTACGGCCCGGAGGATCAGCAGTGGGTCCCCCACTCCTGGATCTTGGACCCGTCCCTTCTCCGTGCTTTCCACGCTGCGCACCCATCGAGGCCGGGTGGTCCGCCAGGAGGCGTCCGTGTTTTGGGTCTGGCCAGCAGGTGGCAGGAGCGCACTTCTGGGTGCACACCTGCTGCCAATCCATTCATTATGGGTCTCTGTATTTAAGGACTTTTCTGCGGTTCAGCTGTTGTCGGAGTATTGTTTATGCCTTGCTGTTTCCATGCTCATAGACCCTTTTGCTATAGACATCTTCGTTTTTCGCTTTTGATACTCTCGGTACTATTGATCTAGTAAGTATGGATTTTATTTAGTGATTTGGCTTTTGCTTGCGTGTGCTTTGGTCACATTGCTTTTCGTTTACATTCTCGGTTCTTAGTTTCTCCCCTTGCCTTTTGGGCAAGCGCTTTTTGTTAATACTTATTGTACTTCCTGGTCCGTTTGGACCAGCGCTTTTTGTTACTCTTTGTCGGTGCGATTTTTGTATTAAAACATTTTTGCTACGGAGACCCTGTTGACGTCTACACTTTTGGGATCCAAACTTAATTCGGCTTGTCCGAAACGTGACAGCGTCCAGTGTGTGATTTTGATTTTTTTTTTTTTGTTTGTTGTTTCGTTTTTTTTAAACTGAAAGCATCATTACTTCCCTGCAAAATGTTGATGCTGTGCTTGTAGTTCATCCAAGTGAGGCTAAGCGGTATAAAAACAGTGTTTGGAACACATTATCTACATTTATTTTTGTGCTTGCAAACACTTTGTTTTTCTTCTTTCTACCCCCCAAAATTGCTGCTGTAGACTGTAAATTTCCCCAGTGTGGGACAAATAAAGGATATCGTATCTTATCAAATTTTTTTGATACTTATTGAGGTAAGAAAGTGACATGAACACATTTCTCCTGAACTATGATGTAATCTCGGAATGCTTTGTGGTTTACAGCTAGGCGTCAGCCCTTCAGCGAGCATCCCAGTGACTGTTTGATGTTGTGCATGTGCCTCTTTCTTCAGGCCTGCTTCACCAAATCAGCGCTAACTGCACAACTGCAACACCTCCACAAAGGACAAGCAGAAATGGAACAAACGAGGCAGACAAAAGAGATGCTCCCCGTCCCTTCTGGGCAGGCAAACAAGCCTGGTCAATTCAGTCCTCCTTTCGACCTTTGATGCGCATATCCTGCATCTGTTCAACCGCCAAAAATATTCATTTGCCTCCTCACTCCTAGCAAACGTAACAATTCATCTGTTGTTCTGTCAAATATCACGGCGCCTGCTTGGTAGGGTCTCGGAGTCTAATTAGCACGGTCTGAAGAAAAGTGACAGGTGTTGCTGGATGACAAACCATGGCAAAAGAATCCAAAATAAAGCCATCAGCGTTTGCAAGACAAAAGTTTCGCAAATGTATGCATTTGAAGAGTTCATTGTGTGACGACAAGAGAAGCATTTCAGCTCACGTCTGAACTTTGTCAGGTGTGCAACCTTTTCTGCGTTTTCCCCTCATAGGCTTTGTGGTAGCTGCGTGTGAGCTGATCAGAACGGTTGGGCACTCCCAGTGCAGCGGCTCGAAGCGTCCAGCAGAGACGCGATCATGGAACACAGTTTGACACTTTATAGCATAGGTGTCAAACTCAGGTCCTGGAGGGCCGCTGTCCTGCATGTTTTCCAAGTTTCCCTGTTGCAACACACCTGATTCAAATGAACAGTTTCAATATCAGGCTTCCACAGACCTTGCTGATGATCTGATCATTTGAATCAGATGTGTTACAACAGGGAGACTTGGAAAACATGCAGGACAGCGGCCCTCCAGGATCGGAGTTTGACACCTGTGCTTTATAGGATCACATTAGAGCATAGGTGTCAAACTCAGGTCCTGGAGGGCCGCTGTCCTGCATGTTTTCCAAGTTTCCCTGTTGCAACACACCTGATTCAAATGAACAGTTTCAATATCAGGCTTCCACAGACCTTGCTGATGATCTGATCATTTGAATCAGATGTGTTACAACAGGGAGACTTGGAAAACATGCAGGACAGCGGCCCTCCAGGATCGGAGTTTGACACCTGTGCTTTATAGGATCACATTAGTGGTGGAAAAAGTTTTGAAATTATTCTTTCAAAAGCATGACATTTCTACAGTGTAGACTTTTCATATCACACGCATTTTTGGTTTGTTTGTTTGTTTGTTTTTTCCAGAAGCACCGAATACATGTTGTACAGCCATGTATATCATCAAAACATGTTGACACATAACCACTGTGCAATTCTTTTGATGGGTTGGGGGTAAGACAAATGGGAACTGGCCCAGAAAATTGTATCGCATGCATCCATGTTCTTTTTTTTTTTTTTTTTTGCCATGATGCTCCCACAGTGCCTTTTGTCTATTCTCCATTTTCCTTCACAGCATGCTCTTGTTTCTCTCCAGCGACTTCTGTTCCGCAGAGGAAATACTCGAGTGAACAACGGCATGCTATTCTGGTACCATGCTGAATAGGGAGAATATACGCCTGTTGACTGTGGTCTCGGGATGAAGAATGGGAAAGAGGAAACTGACTCCGATCTGCTTCATGGTAACCTCGAGTCCATTGCGAGCATCCTTCATACGAATTGGATTGAAAAGGCTTGCTCAGAGCGCACCACTCCATCGCCACACCTTGGCTCTAAAGCGACAGAGGGTCGGGCATTGTGGCACGCAGTCATAACTTACCCCTACACATGACGGTTAAGGCGAGGCCACTGCGCTAGCTTCAATGAAATGCGCCGCCGCAGGGGAGGGAAGGACAGGATATGAGTCAAAACGCAATTAGGACAAAGTATGGGCTCGGAAGGTGAAGGGAGCGAGAGAGAGACTGCCAATAGGACGCATAGAGAAGAGCCTGCGGCGGCGGAAGGCCGAAGGATGGGAGCGACGGCAAGCGGCTAAAAGCTGTTGTCCGTCTCCTCGATGCAATTAATGAGAAACATGGCATTGGGCTGAATAGGAAACAAGGGGAAATAATATGATACAAACACGCCGACGTGTTTGTATCGCTGTAGACCACAGGTGTCAAACTCAAGGCCTGGGGGCCATATCCGGCCCGCAAGGTCATTTTATGTGGCCCGTGAAAACAAATCATGTGTATCAACTTGCTAAAATCTGTACCAAAATGTTAAATTGTCACTTGCAATAAGTGACAATTCTGCACTTAAGATTCTACAATAACTTTGTTACCCTCTTTACACTCGAACAACAATTGAACAAACTATTATAATTGACTTGGCTGATTTCAAAACCAGTAATCTATTAGGTTGTTGAGTACAAGTAATAATTTTGTGGTTTCACTGTCATAACGGCCCTCCGAGGGAAGACGTAACTCCAAATTGGCCCGCGACTAAAATAAGTTTTGACACCCCTGCTGTAGACGATGGTTCAAAGGAGATCAATTGGGCGGGTGCTCCAGCATTTTTCTTGAGTCTCCTCAAGCTATTGGGAGAGTTTCACCCTCATCAGGGTCAAACATGTATCCAGAGCAGCTTGCACAGCATTTAGAAAAGATGGCTGGGGCATGACAAAAATAAATGGAAGACAAATCTAAAGTTGAATATCCATTGTCCATGGTTGTCGGCGTCGGGATTAATAACTGCTCATTATGGCCAAATGGTTTTTAAGTGTTTCACAGCCAGAAGGGCTCTTTGTTTGCCTTGCAGTCTGGAAAACATTTATCTAATTATAACAGCGTGCTCCGTCTCATTCTCGTCACTGTCAGCTCTGCAATCATCGCATGGCTGCGTCTTATAAGACGACACAATCAACATCTGAAAGCGTCATCTGAAGATGAGCTTTATAATGATGTTCTTCTGCCGCATTTAGGTGTTAACTCATTCCGTGGCGTATTTGAGGTCTGCCATGCTGCCAAGCATAAAATACCTGCGCAGAATAGAACAGACATGAGCTGTACATCTTGCTGATGACAAGAGCCACAAGGATTTTTCCTCCTCCTTGACCTACCGCATCAGCATCACGAGTTGAAGTGACTAGTCAGATTTTTTTTTTAATTGATTTTAGAGTTTAGTGCCCATAGGCGTTAGTAGAACAAATTGAATCCCAGCACACCAAAAAATTGAGTGTTCAGCCTTAGAGGCTCCAATGTAGTCTGAAATGATTTCAATATCTTTGCATTCATTTGTCCATGCGTGTAGCTACCTGCATAGGGGATCGCCACATCCTTGTCAAGAGCAACAAGCGGAGGGTCCAGCAACACAGTCTCCGTGTTTTCTGTGATCACGCCATGGTAAGAAGCTTCAATCCACGGTTTGTGCTTGTTGACTGTGGAGGGGGGAGACAGGATGAGATTAATCTTTTTTTGTTCCTGTTCAACGTTTTCTTGAATGCACATTTCAATTCAAAGCAAGCATTGCAAGGATTGTTTTTGTAATTCACAGGTTTCTTTCCACTGCACATCGTATCATCTGGACGTCCCGAGTCAATTCAAAAGATCTTGGAATGGAAAGGAGGTGGGGGAAAAAAGTGACATAGCTCCTTCTTTGTGATTGATCTCAGTGGTACTACGACAAAACAAAGTCATATTTGGAACCAATTTCTCTTGACTAAAACAGAGACCCCAAAAAAAAAGCACCGTCCTACTTTTCTGTGTACAGAATGCAATGCTTCATATCCCCTGCAAAAACATGCTTATCGTTCTCAAAACAGTTCTCGCATTAGCATTTGTCCTTGTTTAGAAAACATGGCGTCGTGTTAAAAAAGTCAAAATATGAGGCATCACTAAAGAAAAAAAAATACATAGTCGAAAGTATTACATAAAGATTTTCCAATTGGACATTCAGGCTGTTGAGATGAAGATGTGTGCAAATATTTGATGGAATTGTATAATTGCTGCCAGATAGGAAGATGGCGAGCATAACAAATGGTGAGAATTGAGCAAGGTCATACAAGTAACAGAGCATTCCTTCAAATGTCACCTTGGCTCACATTGTCTTCACTAATTGAGAGATGCTGCTGTCGCCTACTTAAAAAGAGCCCTTCGCTAAATAGACATCAGGTAGCTCAGTAAATCAACGCCCCCGGCCACTATTTGAGGATATATAGCCCATTGCAGACAGTAACACCCATCTATTTTGTCAATAAAACCTTCGTAGCATGTTTTCTCTGAAGTGAAAACCTTGTGGCTCACACATGAGACTCAAAGCCAATGAATACTCTCATCGGGTCCTTAGAATGGAAGTTATCACTCTGGGTGCAGAGAGGAAAGTAAGGCCCATGCCGCAATGAGATTCAGTGCACCAGATGATCCAAAGATTACAACAGATCACATCACAAATGATTACCGGCAGTGTGGATTATACCCCCTCCCGCTTTTCATCTGCTCAATCCAATAAGTACATAGACGCCTACATGCACGCCACAAGTGGAGAGGGGAAAAAAAAATTACAGTGTTAATCACAAGTGTACAAGTATTAGTGCCTGCAGGAGCTTTGGTGTCAACACGACAGCAAGCCAGTGAAGTCCAAGTGCAGATAAATTCATCAGGACAGGAGTGCAACTTTTCAAAATAATCAGGGCACAATAACATCCTCACATATAAATACAGTCATCCCCCACCACATCGCAGTTGACTTTTTGTGGGTTAGGTGCATTGCACATTTTGTTCATACAAATACACAGAAGGCGCGCAGAAGCGGTGCGCAGGAGCACTGGAAAGTGAATAGTGTGCTACAAGTCACTGAGCTTTTGCACACCAAGAACAGGTCAGGCCAGTCTCATTTCAAAGTTGAATCGGTTGCCGCAATGATTGCTCTGAGGGCTAACTTCAAAATAAAAGCTAAATAAGATATTTATAGCCATGTACCAGTATGACTGGTCACTTTTATTTTGAAGTTGATCCATGCAGCGTATTGAATGGTAGTCTACAAAGAACTTTGTGGCTGCTGGAGTGACTGGGCTGGCTCATTACACCTGCCCTGAGACTGTGGCTGATGCCGGCGCAACAATTATGTTAGTTTTGCTGCACGCGGCTTCGACGTCGGCCATAGTGGGGGGTTCACTTTAACAATAAGACAGCAATAGCACAGTTTAATATGCATGTGACAAATTCAATGAAAATTGAATTTTAGTGAAGAGTTTGGATTTCGGTGTCTTGCGTTTATGACTTCAATAGAAGCATTCCAGAAGTTAAGACCACACAAAGGTGAAACACTTTCAAGATCGGTTTTGAGTGTGTCCAGCATGCAACAGCTGTGACAAATTGAATTCAAAAGACATTTTGATTATTCACAAGCTAACTGTGACTTAACACCCTCAGTATTTTGCGATGACCACTCCTCCCCAACCCCCCCCCAAAAAAAAGTCAATGGATGGAGAGAGGTATGCAAAGACAGGCAAACAGTCAAGTACACTACTGAGATAGCTACAGCATTCATAATGTGAAACTTAAAGCTTGCAAACACAACAAGAATTTGAAGCACCCATAGCAGGCCTGAAAGAAGTGTTTTCATGAGTTTTCCCATTCGCCGCAAAGAAAGGGCCGAGAGTTGACTCTCTATAAACAAAGTGAAATATTCTCTTTTAAGATCCAGAAAGCAGAGCACTGAAAATGTAATGTGAAAAATATCTTCCATATCATTAAGACTGTAAAGCCACCTTTGACAAATGGACGGTGTTTGTCCATGACATTCTTGCCTGTGACAGCTAACAAAGCAGCAACATCATTACCAAACAGAACATCTTCAGTCATTATGGCATCATGGTGCCCATTACGGAGGTCTAACTCACTTACTGGGATACTGTAGTCTAAAATTGCCTCCACCAGGCCTGTGTCAAATCTATTCTGGCAGAAGAACTTACTGGAATCCATAAACAAGATGCAGGCCTGTCTTGTGCAGTAAATGGCATGACTGCCATTCCAGTTCCTTCTGGTACACGATGTGTCAGTGTCATCCCAGAGGAACACTAGAAGAGTTTAGTCCATTCATCTCTTCTTTCATTTTTGAGACATTGTGGCATGTTGATGGTTACGCTATTCAGTATCTTCATGAAGAAACTAGTGGTGGTGAATGTGCCCAGTCAGCTGAATTGTTGGAAGACAAAAGGCTGGGGGGGTTGCGCAGCTACAGAAAAAGTCAACAATGTAGAGGCGAGAAAACAACATCCAAAAGAGAGAACTGGAAAAATCTAAATTACATAGGCAATTTTGTAGCCTCAGCATATTACCCTTTTGCTTGTTTGTGTGTATCAGGGAGAAAACTCTTCTTGTATGTGCTGTGGTGTTTTGTGTGCTCTGCTTGTATGATGCGCAGTGGTCCTCTGTGTTTTGCTCCAAGTTGCAAGCTGTGTGTGGTGGCTGTAAACTCAAGTCAACACTTTTCAGTACTCAACTCAAGTTGATTTATGTAGCATTTTAAAAGCACCATTGAGTAAAAAATCAATTCTATCATAATTTGAAATGTAAAGATAAAAACAATGCTAATATAGATACATTCCAGCTTCTATTCAGTCCATAAACAATAATGCATTTCTTCTGACATGTCTATTAGATGACGTATAAACATTGTCATTACAGTGAAATGTTTACTAATAGATACAAAGAAATACTAAGGTGCAGTTTAATATGGCATGGAGCAAGGGTAAGTGATGGAGCGTTAACAATAATACAGTAATGCATACTTAGACACTGATGTGTGTAAGTGCCATGCTTTAGTAACTAAATGCCACACAACTAAGCTAACAAATCTGAAATATAAAGCAGTGAAAAGGAATAGCATTTTAAAAGCAGAAAAAGCTTAGCTTGCGAGATGCAAAAACAAAAAAAAGTGTGAATTAGACCCATGAAGTTTAATTTCTACAGTTGCCACCTAGCTACAGAAAAACAGATTGTTTGCCGATCAGCATTGCATGTTGAAGCTAATCGCTAAGAAGTAAATCTACTTAACAATACAGTATACTAAATGATTGGGAGGTTATTTGGTATTATCATTTGCACTAATATTTATGCTCTACATATAAATCTACATCCATGGGTTCATTTTAAGAGTTAATAAGAATGATGAATTTTTATATAATGAGAGTATCATCAGGGCAACATTTTATTGATTTTGTGGTCACACTAAATCCTACAGTTGTAGGGTTTAGTTAGTATTTGCCTATTTTAGCTAATGGACGAGCTACAGTAATTCTGTGGAACAGCCACCTAAAAGGAGGATGGCCAAGAAGTGAAGTGAAGGGAAGGGAAGGGAAATTACAAAAAAAGCGAGAGTAGAGAATGGGCCATAAATGAAGATGGCCGAGCGGGTGATCTCCATGAACTGAGAACGGCAGGCAGTGAGAGGAGCACACTTGAATGCCGTGGGAGCAACCGCGCGAAATTAGAAACTGTTCCACTCGAGTGACTTGTCAGCATCTCTCCATCCTTATGCTGATTGCATGGATGGAGTCTCACCAATGTGGTTTCACAAGAGTGAGTAAACTCCTCCCACTTACTGGATGTAATTATTTGATCATATTTTTTCATGCTTACAAGCCTGAAGAAATTCCACTTTGTGGCCGTGTTGTCCATGTTAAAGCTTGTGTAACTGTCCAACACAGCCAAGTCTAAATGACTCAACTGCTGGCAGCAGAAGTGAGAACACCCCCCCCCAACCCCCAAGTGAAAATCTGCTCTTTCCCTTCCTTCGCCAGTGGCATTGGGCACTTTGGTATTACAAGATCTCAGGTGTGAGTAGGGAGCAGCCAGGTTAAATCTGGTGTTATTGCTCTCTCACACTCAAATATTGGTCACTGGAAATGCACTCGGAAACCAAACGGTGAAAGGTCTTATGTGAAGCGATATAAAACTCAACTTTTTTTTTTTTCTAATGTAAATGTGAGGGCTTGAATCACTTTGGGTGAGACTGTCTTCAGAAGAGTCAGGCTTACCATACCATCGATGTACTGCATTTTCCCATCTCTATATCTGTAACCATCTCTCTCTAGCCATCTATCAATCAGTATCTAGATTGCTACTTAGCTCGCTAGATAGATATAGATTCAAATGATGTCCAATTGTTTTCTGTGCTGACAAAGTTGTGAAATCCTGAATAATGCCTGTCTGCAACAGGAGAAGTGGTAATATAAAACCCTCATCCTAATACGATTACTGCCAAATGTGCATTCACAGAAACACATATCAGATCAGGAGGCAGTTTGTTGTACTTCTGCTGGATCTTATTAGGCGTAGAAAAAAAAGTAGTGTGTTTCCGGTAACCCAACCGACCGAGAATTTCTACGTCGAAAAAAAACTTTACGGTCGGCATTTTTTTTCAAACAACCCTCTA